ATTTGGGACTCCGCGGGGCTTCCCCGGCTGCTGTTCAGCCCTTCCTCCTCTTCCTCTTCTTCCTCCTCCACCTGGCGGTCACTGCGGCTCAGAGCGGGGGCCTCAGAGCCTCCCTTCTCCCTCCTTCCCTGCACGCCCTCCTGCTCATCCCTGCCCCCGTCCCATCCCCATCCCATCCCATCCTGGATTATTAATCTGAACACAAATCTCACATCTGATGGGTGAACGTGTAGATCTGTTGGGAGACAAGTGGATGGACAGCTAGATCCGATGGGTGGAATCCTGGATCTGATTGGAAACACATAGATCTGATGGATGGACACATAAATCTGATGCATGGACACCTGGATCTTTTGGGAAACGCATAGATCTGGTGGGTGGACACATAGATCTGATGGGAAACATGAAGATCTGATGGATGGACACGTAGATCTGATGGGTGGACACATAGATCTGGTGGGTGGGCACACAAATCTGATGGATGGACACCTGGATCTTTTGGGAAACACATAGATCTTGTGGGTGGACACATAAATCTGGTGAGTGGACATGTAGATCTGATGGATGGACATGTAGATCTTCTGGGAAACACATAGATCTTGTGGGTGGACACACAGGTCTGATGGATGGACATACAGACCTGACAGGAGGAAGTGCATCCTTCATCTTCATTGCTGGGGCAGAAGCACTTCTGTGGGGACCAGGTATGGTTCAACCCCACCAAGATCTCATGTGCTGCCTGAGGGGACTCTCTGGAGACCCACCAGCATCAACCACAGCGTTCCTGTGGGTCATGGGGGCTTCTTCCAGCAGCATCCAAAGGAAATGCCTGCTTGGGCAGTGGGATCTGGGGCTGGATGGTGGCTCTTTGGTGGCACCTTGGTGACCCTAAAAGCACGAAGGGGGTTTTTGGTTTTGGTTCCTCTGTCTGAAGAAGCTTCCTCCAGGAAGGGCTGTGCCAGCACCAGCAGCTGCTTCCTGGGGATTTCCAGCCGTGATGAGCCCTGGAGGAGAAGAAAAGACGAGCCCTCAAAGAGAAATAATATAAAATGGAGTAATAATAATAATAAATTAACTAGTAACTGCGGTATGGTGCTTCCCCCAAGCAAAGGGACCTCGTGCCACAGTGATGGGACAAGGTGACAGCTCTTGTCTCTGCCCACACCAGCCAAGAAAACTGAAATGTGATGCAAAAAAATAGGGCAAAACCCAGCAAAAAAAAAAATGGGATTTGAGGGTTGGATCCTGTCTGGAAAGGGACCCACTGCTTCCTTGCATCCCGTGATCCACCCAAGCTTCCCAGTTGTAGTAGCAGAGAAGAGATTGGATGGGTTTGGGGCTCCCATTTCCCCGTGTCAGAGAGGTCACCGGGGATGCAGTGTCAGCACTGAAGGTTTTTGGGCTGATTTCAGCAAATTTGTATCGAAGCCTCACCCATGTCCTTTCCTAAAAACCCCGCATCACCTCAGCTGGTCAACGCTTAGGGGCGAGGGCTCTCCCGCGTCCCTCCGAGGGAGAGAGAAATCAATGATTAATTTCAATTACAGCGGTGCAATTCCATAACCCCCCCCCAAACCAGGATGCCCCCGCACGGTGCGGGTAGTTCGGGGCGGCGGGATGATCCCGGCGGGA